TAATAATTTTTAGTAATTTATTACCTAAAGGTATAATAATATAATATAAAATTTGATATAAATTGTATATGTTGTATTAGATTATGAGCGGAGAATGTAGTTTTACAAAGGTGTGTATGGATGTATGATTTTTTTTATTTTAAACTTGATTTTGTAAGTATTAAAAGCTAAAATAATATTTTTTAAAGTAGGTACTTAGAATGCCTTAACTATATCCAATTTGCTACTATAAATCATCTTCAAAATGAAAAACCAAAGCATTTACAGTGATCCAAATGATGAACTGAACAAAAAAACACAATTTTAAAACCCATACATTTATTGCTTAGGATCGAAGCAATTATATAAACTATAAAATTCATTGAATTTTCTATTATCAGTCTTCACTTTTTGAATTCTGAGTTGATCGTTGAATGTTTTGCTTTTACAACGACGAGTGAAACACTCAATAAAACATTGTCATCGCCTTTTAGAGCATTAAATCAGCTATAACCTTATATTTTGAGGGTTGTGTCTAGTAAAAATATTGCCTCGAGTTCCGAGTTTGTACTTTGAGGGTCAAAAGTATCAATATTTTTTAAACTTACCTATGATATCTGATGTAATTTCTGAAAACATATTCGTTATGAAATTTACTAGAACACGGTGTTCTCACATTTTTTAAATAATTTTTTTACTTCCATAATAAATTAACATGTAAATATTCTTAATTTTTTCAATTTTTAATCTAATTTTGATGGGTTAAATTTCAAAAATGCGTAAAAGTGGTTTTTGATGTAATTGTAATGACAAATTACAAATTACATATTATGTTTTCAGTAGAAAATTGTTTATAATTATATCATATTCTATATTATAGTAATGGTAAAATTATTGAAATATCAAATAAGTTTGGTATATTTAGGCAGAAAATCCAAACGACATAAAAGCCTCTTGAAATTTAATATGATGTATCATTAATTCGTGTTCGTTATTTTAATGTTATATTATACAGCCATCAGCAATTCAATATGGACTCCAAAGAACAGGCTATACTTTTAGATGATGGGCAGTTGGAATGTGAAATATTACGAGAACTGTTGGCGAAGACAATAATCAAGAGTTTTATGTTGGCCTTAGTGCTCATCGTCGTCCTGCTTAATTTGTTTATATTGATTGGCATACATAACAGACAGGGTTGGCTCCAGGACTATCTAATAGTGGAATTTGCAACGGTAGGTTTTATGATTGCTGTATGCCTGGTGATGTTTTTGCTCTAAACAACACCGCAGTTGAAATCCGTCGTCGGATAGGTCGTCCCGATTGACCTGTCCTGATGGCTAAAGTGGCCACAGCATGGTTCAGGATCATCGAGAACGGCCATTCGGTGGACGGACTGCGGGCAGGAAAATTATTAAGGTGAGTGCGGCGTGGGCCATTATACCTATGTATTATTACAAATTAAACTTGGGTATTAAGTACTAATAAATATTCACAACCAAGTAAATATGAATTTATTTATGTATTTCACATGTATCTTGTAATTTATGAAGGCGAAAAACACGAAAATAGATCAAGATAAAAATAGAAAAAGAATTTTCCGAAAATCTTGTTTTTTAGGTGATCCTTCATTTATGTAGGACGAATATTTTCAAAAACTTTAATGCTTTTCAGTGTGATGAGTCGAGGAAATAGTGTTAATCGTTAAATCATATACCATAAAATAGACTAAAAAAATTGGAAATATCATAACAACAATTACGTTAAATGCACGATTTCTTGCCCCCTCAATTCAACCACTATGCACTCCGTACGCGTGTCTAAAGCCCCGTGCGCACATGATAAATGATAATATTGTGTAATTTGAACACTGTGTTTATTGTATACATTTATGAATATGTTTGTGTGATGATGTACCTCCATCATCGACTAGACTTAGTAGCTGACTTAGTAACTGTGGTACGCGTACCCCTTGGGTTGGGGGTACTCGAAATGTTTTAAGGGGTACGAGTCTGACAACAAACCAACAAGGAAAAAATTCTTTAGGTTTTTAAATTTTTTTATATATATTTTAATTTAGTAACTAAGAAGGGGGTACTAAAAAAAATGTATTGATAAAAAAGGGTAAAGTGTTTATAAGAGTTTGAGAATCCCTGGACTAAGTAATAGTTTTTGTCATTACGTTGGAAATGACAACAAATGACAATAACTATTATCTAATTACTTTACTCCACACATGACCGCAAGACGACTTCGTTTTGGTGACGCGCATTCGATAGCCCTCCCCCCACGCGAAACTCGTGCTTTTCACACCTAATGATTTTTTAACAAAAACGAATACCTAACCAAGACGATGGTCGTACATCTTATAATATAGGTGCTACTCGTGCTAGGTAATAAGTTTATCCATTGCTCGGATTTTGGGAGGAGGGGTGCACAAGGGGACGAAGCTTCTCTACGATTTTTATTTTTATTTTGCGGCTATTTTTTCGTTACTGGGACGGGTTAACGGTACAAATCGATAAGTTTCATTAAAATATGGATTTAAATTGTTGTCAATTATTCAGTAAATTTTATAATTTTTTATATAAAAATAGTTTTTGATATTACTTAGTTTACTATCTTCTTTTTTTGATTAGACTTCCTTAAACCTTCTGTTTTTTGTGAGTGTATTGATTTTATTAAACTGATTTTTCAAGTGAAATGTTCAATAATAAATACTGTGTTTTATTTTAGACACTAATCTCAAAACTTTTCACGATTTTAGTTTTTTTTTCAAGGGGAAAATTGTAAATATTTTTGAACTTAAATTTTCCTTGTTCGATGCATAAATTACTACTATAATTTATGTATAATAAGTAATTGCAAAACAAAACATTTCAGAATTCGATTGTCAATAAATGTATTCTAAAATCTTCAATATAAGTAGCTAGGCATTAAAAACGATCGACTAGATTAAAAATTAAAGTTACGTTATATTAATTTACAAACACCTTTATTGAAAATTATTTTTAAGGTGTTGTATTCTTTTACTTAGTAGGTAGTAGGTACTACAAGAGAGAGAGTACCTACAAGATTTCAATTTTTATGTTAACTTTTTTCAGATGAACTATTATTATTTAATACTATTTGAATATTTTTGTTTAACTACAAATGTATATAATATTACCTACTATAGTTTTTAATTTGACTCTTATTCATTTTTGTTTTAGATTCTGATCATGCTGAACACCAAACCTAATTAGAAAGCTTAAGTTAAGTTAGAAAGTTACTTTAGATTATGTTTTTAAAATTAATATTAATTATATTTATGTTTATATTCAAAAACATTATTCGGGTGCCGGGTATTTCAATTATTAATTAAGATAAAAAGGAAATGTGTCAGTTGTTTACACTATCTGATAACATTATTATTATGTGGATTATGTTTGTAAAATTATTCTTAATTATATCTATGTTTATATTCAAAACAATTATTCTGGTGTTGGGTTCTAAATAATGGTTAATAAAAAAAAAGGAGACGTGACAGTTGTTCACGCTGTTTTATTATATTATTATTTTATATATTAAGATTATGTAACGATTATGTTTGTAAAATTATTATTTATAATTATGTCAAATAATAAAATTACAATTAAATTTATTACGAATAATAAGATATAATTCATGTTTATTTTACTTAATTAAAACATATTATAACACAACATAACACAACACCTTTTTCTTGTAATGCATAATAACCTAACCTATAATTATAATGACCAATAGATTATCATAATATGTATTATAGGAATATCCGTGTAAAGTATCATAGGTACCACAGAATAGGTGAAATAGCCAATAACTTTCACCTATTCTTTAATCATACTCTTTGTATGTTCCTTTTTTTGTTTTACATTCAGTGCTCTCTTATGACTAATATTCCAATCCGTGTCCAGGATAACGGTTAAATTGGACACCAAGACACTGGGAAATTAGTTTATGTAATACTTAACAGATCTTGAACAAATAGGTTTTAAATTCATATTTTAAAATATAAAAAAATTTAACTTTCAACTTCTATTTTAGAAACTAACTTATATTCTAACTTGGTTAGTTTTTTGTATTTAAGTAACTTCACTTAAACTAGTTGAAAAAAATTACTAACTTGCCCAGTTTTGCCGAGTACCAATACATTGGAAAAACACATTCAAAGGTGTTCTTTGGATGTAGAAGGGGGTTAGAGGGAGTACATGTTACACACAAATTTGTTTGTGGCATTTTATCCATCGGTAAAATATACAAGGAAAATATGTTGATGATTTAAACCACAGATATTATATTATCATACATTTTACCAAAGTCCCCAAGCCATGGCCACGATGGTTGCAACGTGTTCACTGTTCAGCGTAACTACATATAAATTATAACTGAAAAATTCATTATTTTACTTTTTGATTTGTATAGAACACTTGTTTGCAAATTTCAATAAAATATAAAAACTTTTACACACATACAGTTTGATTTATTTGTAACTAAATAATATGTATATGTATAAGTATGAAATATATAATTTAAAATTGTTTTATTGTATGTATCTTTTACACAGCTGGTAATATAATATAATATGATATAAATATAATATAATATAATATATAATATGGTGGACAATATAAGAAAAAAATATATGATTATTGGTATAACCCTAAAACATTTTGTTTGTAAGATTTATATTACAATAACTAATCTATGCCGCGTATATGTATACAAACAGGATGTCTAGAGACGTTTGATACTGTTTGTAGAATTTTCCCAACTTTCTATACATTATATTTAACCAAATTTATATGTGAAAATGTGATGCACAATTGTTGGCAAGAAAACAAGTAGATGTAATGGAAGAGTAAGGGGTACAATAGGAAGAGGACATTTTGACACATGACTGACACTTGAGCAAATATGTAAAATTGTAATGCTTGACATAATATTATATTAGGTGAAAAGACGCATGTTATGTACATATTATGTCGGATGATTCTCTGTATTTTCTTTGTTTTTACTTATTTCACTAATGGAGACGGAAAATAATCATTTTTTTTTTTGGTATACATGTTTAAACACAAAGATATTCATGCACATTTAACACATTATTCAATACAAAATTATACAGTTGAACAACATTGTAACAATTTAAGACTACCATATTAAGATTAGTATATAATATGTATAAATAGACCAAAACCGTAAGCCAATAGTTTAGAAAAAAATATACAAAATATGTTTAAATTAGATAATTATTAATTTAAATCATACTAACATAAGTATGTGTCTGGTTGCGGTTTAGAATTAACAAAATAATGGAAGGGTTTTTAAGTGTTACGTACAAGTTTACTATCAAACATGAATAGCACCGAGGATGTGGAAATAGATATGAGCACGTATATATACAACGGCACATTTCTAAGAGTCGGGCACAAGCCAAGTTAAAAAAATATACTTTTGAAACGAATAACAACTCAAACAATAACACAATCCTCTTACTTTGGGGGTGGGGGGTTTAACAATATTACAAGTTAAACTATTAAATCTTAAATAACAATAAGTTAATATATACTCCCTTTTAAATGAAAAAATTGGCAAACCTTTGGGAAAAAAGGTCATTAAAAAAAAAAAATGATTTTAAAGGTTATAGGCAACTCTTCAGTATTTACTATGATAATATTAGAACAGTAAACAAAGACTAGATATAGGAACCCTACAAAAGTGTTTGTTGGTTACATGAATTTTGTTATTTTTGGAAATATATAACAATAATTATATATTATTAAATCAAAATACCACCGTGGTAGCAAGATTATGGTTGTAAATAAATAAATGAAGAGATGTGCGACTTTATATTTTTCTATATACTTTTATTTTTTATAATATGACACATAGTTCAATACTTTGATTAATAAAAATCAAAAAAATCATTAGGAATATAAATATAAACTTCTGAGAAGTTATAAAATTGAAATGTAAATTAAGGGGCTTGGTCATAAAATTATCACACATCTCTAGATTTAAATAGTACAAGCACAAATTACAATTAAATATTATTATTATTATGAAAACAAAAAAATTTTAATAGGATAATAAAATATTCTCGTCCAACGAATACAACAATAATACATTGTATTGATAAAGAAGATCAAAATTGAAAAATGTTAAGAATATTATATCACAGTAAAAACAATAAATTTGTTTTATCTTAAATCATCAACACGTGTTTCTTAATGCCACATGTATCTGTGATGTATTGTTATTGATTGAAAAAGTATGCAATTTTCAGATTTTAAAAATTAATAAGTCTAGGAAAAAAAAATGTATATTAGATATTGTAAAACTTCATAAGCATTAAAAATTAGAGCACACGTATTGATGTTTGATTGAAGCTTTTTGTAGATGAAATCCATTAGGGATTTAAAATTAACGAAAGTTAAAGACAAAAAAAAGAGAAGTCCAAACATTATGTGACTTTAGTTAAAAGGCAGGCAAATTCAGTGTAATTCACATTGCTAAGCCCTACTGGACGGCATGATTACACTGCAACAGTCGAACGATAGACGGATCACTTTTGGCACCTTCAATAAACTCCTCCAATGATAGACGGCCATCATTGTTCTTGTCCATCTGCCTAAAAATCTTGTCTGTCCTCTTCTCTGGCGTCGACTCATCCTCCGGCATTTTCATTACGGTCCCTACCATCTTATAAATGGCCTGCACACACACAACATAATCAGTAAATAAAATTCATAAATAATAATAATTATGACTACTATTTGGAATTTTAAAATTTACCGTAACAATTTCCAACATTTCTTGTCGTGAGATGAACCCATTTCCATCCAGGTCGTACATGCTGAAAGCCCATTTCAATTTCTGCTCCAACTTTCCACGCGATGTGACTGACAGAGCACAAAGGAATTCCCTGAAATCTATTGTTCCATCACTGTTGGCATCAAATGTTCGAAATACATGCTCTGCAAACTATTTTGGGCATTTAAATGAAATATCTTTTACTTTCTTAAAACTAAATTACTTTAGACGCATCACCGTAAGGAAAGAAATTTCCATAAATTTTCTTAAACTCTTCAACACTTAAATTACCACCGGGACAATCCTTTAAAAAACCTTTATACCATTCTTGAATCTCCGCATCTGCAAATGATTAAATTATGTGGTTACTTTAATAAACATTTATAAAAGAATCGATTTTACCAGAAAATTCAGTATTTTGTCTTAGGTCTTCCAAGACCTCTGGCTTTAACTTGCTGTTTTGTTTTCCCATTTTTTAATCTTATTATAAGATGTGCAGTCGAGTACCATTAAGCTTTCATTCTCATAATCTGTTAAGTTATAATTCAGTTTATTATACAAGTAGCAGATAATAACTAATAATAATGTTCAGATTTATCGACAGTATTATCAAGACCATCATAAAGAGTAGGTATTTGTTTATCATATTGGATGGTTTTCTCAAGGGTAAGTAAAGAAAAACACATTGTTTTGAGACATCAGAATGAAATAAATTTTAGTTTTTGATTCATCTGTTAACCATACACAGCGCTCAGAGCAGAAAAGAAACGTAACATTTCCTAACCTTAAGAACTAATTGTCTAAGCTATTTAAATTTAAACTTAGCCTACGTATAACAAATAAAAATAAAAATAGTTGTCACATTGAATATTTTTTTACAATTTGTGCAAACAAATGTACGTATTGTATAAAATTAAATAAGATAATTAAAATAAGTTGGTCTGTTTGATGTAGTAGCTAGACATGATTGTTACCTACTAAAAATGTATAACTATGACTTGTTAGCTCTAAATTTCGATACGAACATAAATATGAATATAATGTATTATGTTATATTATAATATATATATATATATATATTCATACACATTACACACATACATAAGTAAAGAAAATATAGTTCATTGGATTTTAAAATTACTATTAAGGACAACACTTGACACAGATTTTTTACACTATGTGTATAATATAACATCTATAATAATAATAATAATAATAATAATAATAATATTAATAATAATGGATTATACAAATTGGTGTATAGAAAAATTCTCGATTAATAATTAACCCTAAGTTTTTTTTTTAAATTTGTATAAACTTTTCTAGATTATTAATAATGTACGCGCGTACATAGTGAACAAGAATAAAATACATTGTTGTGACATATATTATTATTATGTATAGAATAAAATATAAGAAATGGCTACAAAAATATTACACGTACTCAAATTGTCTATATAATTTTTTCGTTGAATATGTTTCGTTGTCTGAAGAGTAATAATATATTTTATAAGATATGTCGAGATGGAAAAAATAAAAAAAATAGTAATGCTTGAATTACTCAGGTTTTGTACACACAAAAAGTTTAACCAAGTCAAGCGTTACCGTAAACATTAAGTATCCTTTTTCGTAAAAAAAAAAAACAAAGCGTTTCACACTTATAATCGCGTATTTTAAAAGTAATTAAATTGAATATAACATGAAAATTTATGGTTTAATATTTGGCCGTACACTATAATAACATACACATCACATAATATTATATGCATGATTTAAATGAAGTAACAGGTATAGAAATGATAACAATAATAATAATAATAATAATAATAATATGTTTAATCAAATAATAATTATAAATATAAAAAGTAAACGTATATCATAATTTGGTAACAGACACTTTGGTTGCGATTTATTGCTAATGGAATCCAACAATATAATGTGCACCATCGACGAAAAAAATAGATAAGAAATTAAGTTATAAATTAATGTGATTAGATAATATAAATATATTGGTCCAAGAGAATGTATCTTAAAATTACAAGCGGCTTAATGAACTAGCCAAAGGTAATCAATAATAATAAAATACGATTTCGTCGCATGATTATTATATTTGTGCAGGATTTTTGATTTCTGAACATAAAGTTCCCGACAGTTTTAATACACGAATGGTTCGCTCGATGACACGATTTTTGAACCCGACGTTGTTTGGAAACCCCATTATAAGCCAAGGTTTTTCCTTTTTATTATATATATTTTTTTTGTATGTTTTCTTACAGCCAATTACCTTAATAGCATTATTATTGAAGTAAAACTATAAAAATGAGACCCCGAAAATGGTTTTTGTTTTTTTTTTTTTTTACGGAGTTTTCAATTCCGGTGAACGTAATCGAGTTTTGTAATATTTTTTTTTCATTTTTGAGCTTTACTTTGCACTGATTGAAACCTGTTTCAGATGAAAACATCGCAGGTTAACAGAGTTCAATTGAGTCTCCGTCGTAATTATAATAATAATAATAAAAAAGAAACAAACAATAATATAAATGGGAATGTGCAGAAAATTATTTACACAAATAAGTCACCAGGTGAAGTGGAAGCTAACTTGAGATTCGGGAAATCGTTACTCGGAAAAAGGCCTCGGAGGTTTGCCGATGTGTTTATACTACGCCATACTACGCAAATCGACCCAAGAAGAAATGGGGCGGACACCCCTCGAGATGTAAAACGCGTACCACCTGGCAACCTGCGCATTAAAATCATATGTAATACCGTAGATAAATTACCCTATTAGAGAAAATATAACCATAAGAAAACAATTGGTTTTTTTTTTTAAATTTTTTGTTTTTTTTTTTGGATTCAATTTTTTTTTAGAAAAAACGGGTTGACTTGTTTTTTTTTTTTTTTTTTTTTGGCACCGACAAAGGCGTACCCTACGGGGCGAGAGAAAAAGATATACAAAAAAATGCGGCGAAATATAATATTATATTGGGCTTTCACGCCAGCCGGGGCAGTGGTTATGGCGCTAGCATCTTGGATAGTTCTTCGTCCTGTAGACAGCCTTTAAGGAATTCGTCCTGGGTCAGCTGTCCGTCGTTATTCTCATCCATTTTGGCGAATATATTTTTAGCCCGATCTTCTGCCGAGTCAGCTGGACGGTTAGATGAACACGCACCCAACATATCGTAGATGGCCTACAAATATATAAAATAAAAATCAGTCTCAACATCTACATTTACTCCCTGCGGGCTTAACTACAGCTAAAAACAGAATTAATGTTTGATTTTTTTTTCTGGTCGAATGATTTGGTACAACTAATTTGTACGAATAGTTTTTAAGTGAATTTGTACTAAAACATATTCAAACAACCACAATAACGTTTGAAGTATATAAGTAAAAACATACCAAAAATAAGTACATAAAATATATTTTTAACGATTAAGCGAATAAGGTATAGACCGCGATGGGGTTTGTTTTTGTAACATAGTATCAATGTCTGTACCTGAACGATTTTCGTCATCTCTTGAATATCGATGACTCCGTTGCCGTCCACGTCATACATTCTGAATGCCCATTTTAGTTTTTCCTCCGGTGTGCCGGACGACGTGACGTCTATGGCTAATAGAAACTCCTGTAACCGATACATAAATGTACGATTTTTAATGGCGCCCGTTTGGTGCGTGAGGGTTAGGTTGCAGGTTTGTGGGTGGGTGGGAGCGACCTAATGAATAATAAAAAGTTGATATTTCATTGAACGATCGAAAGGGGTCCGCCCGCGGGTGAAGTTCATTTGACGACCTTTAACGGGTGGGCGACACATGGGAAAATTCAATAAAACCACTCTGGAAATGGGGTTTTTTTTTCGATTGCATTCTGATATATTAATATAGTAAAATATTATGTATTGCATGGGTGGTTTGTAAAATATTATCGAGCGACTCACTTTAAAGTCTATGTAACCATTTTTGTCCATATCAAAAGTCCGAAATACGTGATCGCAGAATTCTTCGGCATTACCGCTTGGAAAGAACATTTTGTACATGTCCACAAATTTTGCTGGTGTTAAACGGCCGTTTGGACAGTCTTGCTGGAATAAAATAAACGTTGTCATGAAATATGAAAATCGTTTCACACAATAGTTTATATTTATTTTGTATTATATTATTCGGGGGGACACAATCATTATAATACCACCTGAACAGCGTGAGTTTGCAGGGATGTTATTATTATTATATTTACGCAACACGCGGGAATTTACATAAACCGATTTGATTTACTTGTAAATTCCAAACCGATAAATGCAGTAATATTAAATTATAATCACTCCTTCGGGGCTTATATATACACGCTGAAAAGGTCATTATTACATTTTGCTTGATTCGAAAAGGGTTGAATACAATATATTATAATGTGAAGTGTTGTGAAACCTCAGTCCATATTCAATACATAAAATACATAGTCTAAGACTAATGGTTCATAAAATGGATTTCGTGCCATAATGAGAAACCATTATTTCAGAACAATTTATATTATTTTTGAAACTTGTGAAAGTTGTATTCTAACTTCAAATTACAGATATCTCCCTGCAAACGTTAATAATTATGTTTTGAGGTTTTTTTTAAAAATCAAACAGTCATTATTTTAAAAAGTATTAACTTTTTTCGAAAATATATTTTTGGGAAATTTTACATTCAATTTTAATATTTTATATAAGTCGTGTTTGCTTTACTCGTGTGAAACTAGTAACAACTTTTCATTTATGAACATAAACCTAACCTAAACCCACATTTGTATGTATTTGAAAACAATAATAATTGCGTATACAATTTAATAAACACAGGCATGTTGGTACATTTTGAGTGCATATTGTGTAATACGAATGTTTACTGCTTTATTTGTTAGTCAGTGAATACGGCCACAAGTCCAAATGAAATATAATTTTTTTGGCACAATCACTGATCAAACCACATCAGAGCAAAAAAATGTTGCTATAGAAAACGGAATGACTCCGAAATATATGACACAATAATAATGATATACTTATACAATCTGAGGGTACAGTGCGTGCACACTTTGCATCAAATGCTGAACGAGTAACTATGCGGAGGCGATTACAACCTGAGCGCTATGTATTGTTTCATGATGAAAATACTGGTTGCTTATAATTATGAACGTTTTCCGGGTACATATGGGCCACGGCATAATTTAATAATATATAATGTGTATAATATGTAGATCGAAGGGTAGAAACGGCCGAAATGAACATACAGAGGACGGTAAAGGTAAATAAATCGAAGTGACGGATCCTGAGGGACTAGATGACTGACTACGCAGTCGAATGGGTTTGCCAAAAACCATAACGGCGGCAGTGTTGTCTTTTGGGCTGCGGAGAAAGAGAATAAAGAGAGTGAGAGAGAGAGAGAGAGAGAGAGAGAGAGAGAGAGAGAGAGAGAGAAAGAGAAAGAGAGTGTGTAGGTATAAGGGCATTTACTGCAGACTTCTTACCCCGTCGGGAGAACTCAATTAATCATCCTCCGGGTTAATGCCATTAATCTTACAAAGCAAAATCCAGAAAAGGTTATATTAATGCCTCGGCCCGCTTTGCAACTCTTCCCGACAGACCGAACTCCTTCGTCGTGTGTTTTTGGCGGTGACGTTGTAGCCAACGACAAGGTAAATTATTTGCATGACAAGTTTTCTCCCATACACATTGTGTAATATAACGGTAACGCATAACACGTCTTCATGATACATATATATATATATATAGTATTATACACATATCATTCATCGTCCGCTAAATAGACGAGAATAGAAAACGCATAAAAGAAGATTAAAAATAATTATCGCATCTGTTAAAATTCAATATCACTAATAAAAATATTTTGCGATTTGGTGGTAATCAAACGCGTGCACCATATTTTTTTTATAACTTTATAGGTAATAAAAAAACGGTATACTGTTTTTACTTTAGTAGGTATTGTAGAGATCTAAACATTATAGTTATAACCCTACAAATAGAGTATGGATATTTTGAAAATTGTATTTCCGTTGGGTTAGGTTAATAAATAAATCTCATTGATTTTTTTTAAACTGATTACTTTAAAAAATGATGTACATTTAAGTTTAATTGTATCATAAAATTTAATTATTATAGCTATTTCTTATCATTTTCCTACGAATAATTTCAATCCGATTGCTTTTACATGACGTGTTGTGAAAATAATGTCTTATGGAAACTTAAGATTAAGAGGCAACGAAGAGAGTCAGAGACAAATAATTTGTTAGAAGATTTTAGTCGATTTGATGGAGGGTTTATAATACTTCTTTTTATAAAATATTTTATTAGATTTCGTATGAAGTGTGTAAATTAATTTATGTCCATCGGTAAAATATATTTTAATTTAAGTTTTATCCATTATGCAGAAGTTTTTTTTATTAGTTTATTGGGGTTATTACAATTAAAGTTTTTTAAAAGGTAAATTTTAAGTGTAAAAAAATTATTTGATTAGTGAATTATTAAGAAATGTTTCAAACGGTTTTTTGCTGTCAATATGAAATACTTCAATAACACCACGTTGACTTATTATGGGTTTGGTTGTTGGATCATTTATAGAGCGGATTAAAGGTTATATTTTCATATAAAGGCATAAAGCGTAAACAATTTGTCAGATATAAAAATGACGGTTCTTTCGAGATTAAAATGACATCTGGTGTTTGTCCCTTGAGGATGGTTTTTAAAACCTTTATATTTTTTACTCTGAGTCGTTAATAACATAAGTCAGGATTTTTTTAAGCATTTCATTTTTTACTGCAGAAGATGTACAGAACATAAAAAAGTTTTTTTTCTATAGTAAAGTGTATTGTTTTATTTTAAGAGATATAATAATACCTACCTATCTATACTACAGTCAATAAAAATTTCGAAAAATTAAAAACATGTATCAACGAATTAATTGTAACGAATAACATTCAAATAATTCTGTCAAAGTACTTTACAATCAGATAGAACATAAATTATTTGCTTAACCATACATAAATATTTAAATAATTAAAAATGGGTGCAACGTTTCAATTAATACATTTTTTTTCTTCAAAACCACGGCCTTAGAAGATAAAGTCGGAACAATTCCCTATTTAACAACGTTAATCAATTGGGTCGCTTAGAGAGGACATTTAGGTTCAGTTTTTTGCCGCTATTTTATTAGGCATCTAGGACAGAACTTTATTAAGGTTATGTAAAAAATAAAAATAAATTTAAGAGGCAAATTTAAAAAAAATCAAAACTAATAATTATTATTGTGATTAAAATCTGAAATATATATATGTACCTATATAAATAAGAATATAAAGGCATGAATAGATATTCATTTGTATATATACATGGAAATAGAAATTATGTTAGTAGTACTGTTTTAAGAATTGTTTCTTTCAACTTAAATATGCCCAACTTATTTTGTTTTTTTTTGTTTGCAATAAAAATTCAAAATTATCTGTGTTTTGTTGTCCCAAAATGTAGTACTTAAAGCCCAACGGGCAAGCATGGGAAAAACCCTAACTTTTCTTGGAATAAAACTAAAAAATAATTTTTTTATTTGGGAAAAAAACATTTTATCTCTGATATAGAACGACAAGTGATTAAAAAGAATCGCTATGGAAATATTATATTTCCTGTGCATATCAAAAACACAAAATGTCTATCGTTTTCATATTTTCCGACCTACATATAAAATGTAAATATTCCAAAAATGTGGTATTGATTGATTGAGTATTGGGACATATTGTATTAAAGATATTTAAAAATATTCAATTTCAAATATACTTGTGTATAGATGTCTAGTGTCTACTCGATGTCTCGATGGTAACTATTGGTAAGTTGCAAGGTTTGAGTATCAATGATAAGCAAAGAGTCCCGACCTTATCTTCTAAGGCCGTGTTCAAAACAATAGGTTTAAGTGAATTGGCTTTAAAAAGTAAATAAAGAATCCTATAATGTTATACAGAGTAAGCATACTCGTATACATTTTTAGTTTATATATCATATAAAATCATAAAAGAAAGAAATATGATAACTGATCACATACTATCAATATATAGTATTTTGATAATACTTATCAATCAAATACCTATATTCTATTCATATTTTTTGAAATGGCTTCTAAAATATTTCTTTTTAGGAAGGAACCCCTTAAGACCATACTATTGAGCCACTAATGTATAGGAATGTAGTTTAAATTATTACATAATTTGAATTCTCATTAATTTGTAATGAGTATCTACCTACACTTCGTACTTTTTACACAAGTCAATCTTATTTTGTAAAAAATAACACATTTTACGGATATAAAATTTATATTTAAATCGCAGCTCTGATAGTGAAATATCAAATGTCACAGTAATATGGTAATAGATAGGTACACTATAACTTAATCATAATAATACATAATTGAAAACTTTAAAATCTAAAAAGAAAAAAGAAATTTAGTTTTTTTTAAATTATGTATTATTCATTATTATCTTACACAGTATAATATAATATAGTAATAATAGTTTTCCTGTATTTTTTTTTTTTAAGTATGCCAGGTTATACAGAGTAAGGTACAAAAGTATTAAGTGAAAAATAATAATGAAAAAAAGTTTAAAAACAACATAAAGTTCTTAGTTCATATTCAATTTACAATACTCTGCCAAAAATCTTGGTTCGATGGTAAAAACAATATTATGCAAAATACGAATTTAGTTTTAAGAAAAGTTTTTACATGTTCTAAAATAGATTAATATTTTTAGAGCGACTGTTATTTTTAGGATAATATATAAAGTGTAATACTAACACGGTTTGTTTTTTTAAACACACTATCATTAATTTAAAAGATTTTTATCATTGTTGAATTCATAATCATAAGGGTCATAGGTACTTGTAACGCATTATTATTAAATTACCAACGAATTACACTTTGAGACTCAAGTCGATGAGATCTGTCTATTTAACAGCAAAATACCCTATTGAAAACAAGTTCAATGGAGATAACGACTGGAGATCAAATTGGAGTCCATCAAACTCCGTCAGTCATCAACTAATCAATGACCCATGCTCCCAAGTACCAGGCATCTCACCTAAGCGACGAGAATGGGTCACCTTGAACAGACTCCGAACCGGACATGGAATACGTGGATAAAATGTATTCGTTTGGGGCATAAAAGACTCTCCTGCTCCCGACTGTGGCCACCCACCTCAAACAATGGAATATATCATAAAAATATTGCACAGTCTGAGCTTTCACTAAACCTATCGACGATATCGACAGCCTTTCGAATGCAGCTTTAACAGGTTAAAGGCCAGGGCTGAAATCACTTGACACGCCCATATAGAAAATCGTCCTACCGCATAGAAGTTACCACTTACCATGCTATCATACGTTCTGACTAATTATATTGTACTATTATTTTATTCTATTCTTATAAAGTTTATTTGTTAATAATTTTACTGTGTTGTTATGTTCGCTAAATACCATAAGACAAATAATAAACAATTAAATTACGAAACTTGAATGCATATCTAGTTGAGACTGATCTTTTAAATTCAAATAATATGTTACTATAATTTTGTTAGTCTGTATACGAATATTATACAAGTGGACCCAACTGCAAACATAACTAAAATTATTTTATTTATACTCGAAAAATTGTTGTACTATTGAAAAATTTCATAGATAATTAGGTTTGCATAAATGCTAATAGATAAATACCTAATATTAAAATATAAGAATAATTTTAGTAAAATTAAGTATATATGACTAACGAAAATTGAATTATCATTTAATCACACAACTGTAATAACCACGAATTGTAAACCGGGGACAACTATTTATTGTGATATCCTATTGTTCACGATTTAAGCAGCTTAAACCCAAAGATATAATAAATCGAAGTGATTTATGTACATGGTTTACATGCATGGCGTATATTTAAATCCTATTTATTGGTCCTCTAAGTCCGTTGACTGTGAAAGTGACCACTGACCAGTGGTCGTTAAAGTTTCAAAGTTGAATTGTTGGAGGGGAAGGGGGTTACTAAGCATTATACTAATCCAGAAGTATAAATGTTCTATAGGCGTAACCACAAGTTATACAACCAATTTAAACAAAATATGTATACAATATACTATATAATATATATATATAATGGGTATTTTTGATCCCGAAAAATGCATTATCCAAGGCAGATTTGTAATGAATATAGAGTGATTCTCAAAGTATCCAAATTCACCTTCTAATTTTCTTCAATTATGCAGTTATTAAAAATATTGGATTTTTGAAATTTTGAAATATACTTATAATAATTATCGTATTTTTAAGTTTAGAAATTTTTTTCTGTTTTTCCAACGAGTATCCCTTCTTTACGGTGAAATATTTAGCGTGTAAGTTTTTCTTAAAAATTTTAAATATTAGAATCAACATTTGATTGAGTAGTCATTGAGATATTCAACATGGTGTACTAAGTATAGGTCCACGATAATGGATTTGGCAGACATTGGAGCTATACTGATTTGAACTTTAAAGTGATTAATATTAACCATTACATAATTTACAATAAAAAAGATTAGTTCTCATTTAAAAATAGACACTCAAGTCTAGGAAACTGCAAGTACCTACCTAATACAAAAAACTTCAAGTATTTGAAAATATGGCCTTTCAGCGAATTCAAAAATTCCAAAAAAATGAGAATTTGAATAGATTAGTATTGTGTTGAATTTAACTCAAGATATTTAACGTGTTACCGACATTTTGTTATCTACACGTGATATAAAAAAAACCCAAACATGACTTGACACAAGTAGTGAAAACCTAACTGATTTGGTAATCTTCATTGAATACGTGTTTTTCAAACTGAATTTATTGTTCCAGCATATTTATACTGAACATGTTAATTATTACAAAAAAATATTAGATTATTATCAATTTATTTTAAGTTAAGTAATCCAAATACATAATAATATTTACATGTAACTAAATATAAGATTGTTATACAATTATTTCAATACGATATAATTTATTCAATTTTAATCTAGATGTATCTTACCTACACAAATATTCAGTTATTATAGGAATCATGGTGTCAAATATAAGTACCAATGTGATTTGTACAGTAAAAGCTTGAAATGCAATAACAAATTTACTGACTTTTCGTTGCTTTTAATTAAAAAAAAAAAAAATAACAATACAATAAAAAAGGTAGAAAAACTTTTCTTTTTTATACACTATGTTTGAAATCATAAAACACCATGTTTTAAGGATGTATAACACAATATCAAAAGTTCAGATTTTATATCCGAAACAAAAATAATCTTATGTATCGTGGAAGTTGTAAGTTGTTTTAAAGTTTGAAATTATAAAAATTCTTAGTAAAAACTGAAATTTCAAATAAATTACAATACCCACAACCAAGTTTATTTTTTAATGAACATGGAAAATGTAAGTAACTTATAAAACTTTAACTCATTAAAAAAGAAATCATGTTATATATTTTTAATTCAAGTATCCACTACTCGTTATTAAGATAAACAAAATAATTATATTATTTGTTACTAAATTACTTCATTAATATGATATGTATGAAGACTTAATACCTATAATGTGTATATTAATGTTTGTTATAAAATAAATATATTATGTTTAAAATTGTAGAAGTTATTCGTTTAAGTGTTTAATTCTAAAACCTTTTAAAAATTGATGTTACGATTTTCATAAGTAAGGGTATAGTATAATTTAAAAAAATGAGAGTTAAACTGATAAACATTTAATTACGGATAAGCTTACAGTCTTATAACCCGGGATTTAAGTTAATAGGATTATAGGAACACGATGAAAACTAACACTTTAACCCTATTTAGTCAACATTTTATCAACTCGAAACTTTATTATATACTGCACATATTAATATACTATTATATTTTGCATATTGTGTGATATCTTGTATTTATTTATTTATGGCTTATCTTTTAAGCAACTTTCAGTCCCTAAATAGTTTTATCCAATTCAATTTAATAAATGTACCAGTTAGCTATTTCAGATTTGAGTTTTTATTTGTCTTAGAGAAATTCTAGGAATTTATTAAGTATAAATTCAAAATATATAAAAAAATGTTTAGTGGGTACAGTATAATGTTTAAAAATCAACGTTAAAAAAAAGTAATTAACCTGGCAAATCCGATACGACACTTAATATTATGCAATAAATCAAAGTTATAATAACAATTTTTGTACTTAACAATTCGAAAATATAATTTAACGTTCAACAAATACCTACTCATAAAATATAATAACAATTGATATTAATTTAAAAGTACAACATTTCATTTATTTATCACAGGGTAGGCATCTAAAATTATAGACAAAATAAGTTCCAATCAAGTTTTTATTACGTTTCAGATTTGCGTGACATCGTGAACAAGAACAACAATAGAAGAAGTATGTTCTTATGAGATTTGTGAGTCCTTTGTGGAAAAGTGGAAAACGGTGAAATGACTATTATCGATCAGACTACAAACGTCTCCAGAATAACAGAGTTGAACGAACAAGCACGAACAATTTAAAGGACTGAAAGGAACGTTGTCACATTGATTCCTTTCGCAAATGGAGTTAAAAAAATATGTTCGATAAAAAAACAAAATGAAGAATAAACTTGTATAGTTCAGTCTTTATTTGGTCCAAGAGAATTATTATTCGATGTTAAACAGTCAAATCACGAGGGACTTGCAGCTAAGACAGTGATAAGTGGACAATTGTAATAAGACTTTTTATAGTATTCGTCGAAGAACAACGCGTATTAGATTGGTTCGTCTAAAAACTTCATATAATATTGAAAGGAAAAATTATGTGTTTTTTTTTTTAAATTTGTTAATTCACTTCAGGTAGGTGGTTACCTACCATACACATCAGCACAGACTGTACACCGGTATTGAATACGTGCTTAGCATAACACAACGTTTGGCCGATAGTATTTTATAATCTAGTATTATGACAATAATTTACAGATGAGAAGTGCATTATTATAGCTGTGTACAATAATTAATATAATTAATAATAACGTTGGCGACAATAATATCAACTACGCGGTACTTACTTTGAAACCTTTGTACCACTCTTTAATGGTCGCTTCGTCGTATCTCGTGTGGGATTTTAAGAAGTCCATGTCCTCTTTGGACAACTTGTCTTTGCTACCGAAACAACCCATGTCTGTAACAAAATACGATAACACAACGGTTAAACAATCATCAAATGCACAACAAGTGGTTTTTTTAAGTGTTAAAAAATATACATGACGTTTCCGGTAAAAATTAATTGGGGTAAAAAATATCTCTTTCACTATTATTGTGTTTCTATCAGACGAGCTTCACGTACACCGTTTGTCCGCTGTACCCCTTAATTGAAAGCTTCCTGCTCTATGTGCACGGCAATAAAACCACTTGACCCCAATTTCAGTGACTGATGTGGCTTCGCCAGTTCGGAAAAATATTTTCTAATCTCAGCGCGTTATTCGATATTCATAATTTATATCCACCCAGTACTACGCGTGTCATACATATACCATACAATGTATATATAGGTATACGGTATATGCGTACGTATATATTTAAAGAAAAATAACGCACATAATGCATAATGGTACAATAGTTTTTGTGTATTCGGAGCGACAGAGAGTAAATACCTCGATTTAATACAATATATTATATTATTTTTATTTTTATACACATCACTCGTGCCAATCGTGTACACACAACAACACAAACTCACGCCCGCGAAGATTTATAGGCCATGCCTTGCCACAAGTCAGCTGCCGTCATCTTATGACTAAATGGTTTTGATGGATGTTCACGAATCCTTAAAGATATTGCGTTTTCAAAATAAATTTGATAAGATGCGGGACTGTATAATATAATATATAGGTAGGCGCCTATAATAGCAGTAAGCTATTGCTCGAAAGTGAATCGCATGTTTCCATTTATTTTCTCCACAGAGAGTCTGTCCCGATAATACTTATTTATAGAATATAAATGTATATAATATTTTAATTCTTAAATACCTACGATATTTATGTGCAATTCAAAGTTAATTTACATACACCAACGTACTTACTGTATAGTGTATATATATATAATATATATATATTATATAGTGACTACTCGGTGTTGTCGATAGTTACGTTAACAATAATTTTAAAACAATAATTATCAGCAATCGCCAGGATAAAAAAAAATTGTCAACAGCGACGTTGGTAAATGCATGATTATTTGTACCAACGAATTTGATAAATCAAAATCATTTTTATTTAAACAAAAATATAAAAAAAAGGAATAGCTGCAATGCTATATAGGTACATCTAAGTTGAAATACCATGATTTGTTTTTAAATTATTTTGTAATATCATAATTTATTTTTCGTTAGGGGGATGCCTAAAATAAAATTGTATTTTATTTTATTTTAGATAAAAGATAATTAAAAACAAAAACGAGATAAAAAATTAATTTCACTTGAAAAAAAAAATGAAGTATATACCAATTCAAATGAATGACATTAAGTATTTTGGTCATTAAGTAAAGTGAATATTTGTGTAGCCTTAAATAGGAAATGATAAACATTTTAATTTATAAAATACTATCACATGAATAATGCTATAGCATTGTATAATATAAAAATGTACATCTCGTTAGTCGGTGAAAAATTTACATATTCATATTTTTACGCAATCAACAAGGATCTAAATTGAATTTTTAATACACTTTGATATATATTTGATTACTTAAGTTATACATTTATATAGTTTTAAACTTAAAGTTATTTTTATGATACTAAAACCTTTTTATGTTGATAAGAAATACACATTCCATTACAATAATTAAATACTTTATAACATAAATCAATTACATTATCATTATTTTAAATTATTCATTTATTTTGACGTTAATTTAATTCTAAAGTAGGAATATTTATTATATTAATGTTTAAAATGTCGTTGAAAAAGTGTTTAGTATATTCGTTGGAACTTGTTCGAACATTCAACGTACATCGTAATAATAGTAATTACAACGAGTATGAAACGCGCTATGTCTTGGTGTGTTTTTAAATTTAAAAACAGAAAAAAAAATCCAGCTACTTAACTTTAAACTATATACCGCGCACGACAATAAATATACCCCGTGTATACGAGTACAGCTTACAAAAATATTTTTGATACAAATTATTCTTGATAATATGTATTTTGTTTGTATATAAACTCCGCAGTAGTGCTCAAAAAACCCCTCTTGTGTCCCAGAAATACCACCAAATCTACAACGGTTTACCGTAAGACCGCGGAACAAGTATAATAATATGTACGCACTACACAGGGACGTTTGATCTCGTATACATACAGTGTGCGTGCATCAGACCAGAAGGTATTTCCTGAATGGAAATATCAACGGGAAAACAGGCGAAAATACGACAGGGAAAAGGGAGCAGAAGCGGGTACGTATTTTTCTCGAATAAATACATATTATTACGTGGTCCGCAAAATAACCGAAAGAACCTTCGGCGGAACGACGTGAAAACGAGTGATTGCACTTTGCCGTGTCAGTGGTTGGTTTGAGGGGGATTAGAGAGGGAGGGGGATTCGGGGAGATGATATCGTATCCCGCTATATACATATTTCAGTATTCTATACGTGTATAGCGCATATAAGTATATACGCCATAGATCCAGCAGCGTATATATTATATTATATAGGTATACATAGAAATGGAAGGTAGAATTCGACGCGTGTTAAAATAATGAGGCGTACCACTGCAAATGGAACTTATTAGGTACCGTCCACTTCACCTCGCCAACAGAAATAACCCCCACACCCACTTCACATACTGATTGTTTGGAGTTTCGACCCTTAATGTGAGGGGGTGTGATATGGTGTAGTTGAAGAGGACCAGCTAGCGCTCTGACCCGCGGCACAGGCGAGCACATAATAATATATAAAAACGTCGAACGTCAAAACAACAAACGATTGTTATGGATGTGTGAAATTCGAGTTTACATTACCCATGTTCGACTCAAGTTCATTTTACTGGGCACGTTTCGTTTCAAAACAACACCGAGTGGTACGAAAATGTGTTTTTGGTACACGTCCCCTCACACCAGCATCACCCCCCCAAACTGTACACTATTTATTCGGACGAAACCGAAGGCATACATTCATTATTGTGAATGGACGCAGAATATATGAGTGGAAAGACCTAGGAATAGTGAACACAGCACGCTGGCCGTATGAATAAATATCGCGATTATAGCCGTAGGTGTATTATAATTTAAATAAATTGTTATTTACGACGCCCCCCCTCCCACAGGAGCCCAGGAATGAATAAATGATAAAATCATCAAACCGATCGCTAAATTATGCGAACGCGTCCTATACTCCTATAGAATATTTATCGTTTCATCCCCGACCCGCGACGTCTTTGCCACATACCTGCTACCCCTACGGCGCCACCAAACATACCGTTATTCCTTTTTTTAAGGTTTAAAAAGCAACCGGAAAAAATAATAGCCGATCCGTGGCATTTTACCTTCAAGACCACTTCCTCCCACAACTGGCGTGGTCGTGATTATGGTCGGTAACGATAAAAAACGTTAACGTTCATAATAATATGTCCACACATATGAAATGGCGGGGTGGACAACCATACATTTCTTCACCAGAGGATGGCATAAAAGAGAAACGAGAAAAAAACTTGATGGACAGTCCAGAGGAGTGGCTAGAAATTTAGTTCGCTACGAACTCGAGAGGATCAAATATTATAGTAGATCATACACAAAATCTACTCATGTCCAATAACCTATATATATAACTAACAATGTCACAAATGTTAATAACGCACAGTTTATCGTTGATATAGAATTTTGAATTTACAGTCGACAGCATTGACGGATTCGATTTTTTTTCCTCAAACTAATTTCGGTGACCTGATGCTGGAATTTCGGTAAAGCCACCACGAGTTCATCCCATACTATGTACATACGCGAATAGCTGAGGGACGCGGCCTCTCGCCAATTTGGGAATACTGCAGGTGCGTAACGCAAGGAAGTGGTCGACCGGGGCACACGGTATAAAACCGATCCACCGAGTCACCCCCTTCCCACAATATTGACCGACACCTCTCCCCCAAAACGCAACCGCCCCGCGGTCCGTCGGTGGACGGAGGCGCGGAAAACACATTTATACCATCGTCGTTTGCAGCGCGACGATCGCAACCACGAAACAGTACCTCTACTACAGTTTATAATTTATATATACATGCTGCAGAGGGGAGGTTTTAGAATATATATACGTAGGTACACTTGTATAATATGTGACGGACGGTTGAAAAAGAAAACTCGCGGTCGAAAGAGTACCACCCCGAGCACGCACTGCACTATACATACGCATCGTATTATAATATATACCTGCACGCGTTTCCGAGCGTTCGATTTATTACCTACAAGTTTTTATATATTTGATCGGCGCGCGCAGTTAATATTATACATAATATGATACGTATATATATATTATACATGGTATGCCGACGAGCCCACTCGCCACACCACTACCACCCACCCCGGCCGCCGAGCGATATATATATATATAGTTTAACGCACTGCACGCCCGACGGTGTACGGGTTATATACCTGTACGTATATTGTATAATATAATATATAATATATACATGTATAGTAACGACACAGTGACAGTTTCCGATTCGTGTCGTATAATATGTGATCGACGACCGGGGGGGGGGGGGGGGGGGGAGTAGCTCCCGCGTGTCGTTCCACGACGATAATAATAATATAACGTGCGTCAAACGTGTATCCGCACACGCGACCCGAAATAATAATAATATGTAATTTTACTATAATATATTAAATATGCATATGTGTGCGATATGCGCGCACGAGATAGTGACTTATTGTTACACGTGGGTACGTGCCTATAAAATACAATGCATTAGCATACGCGTACGGTATGTCACGGTATGGTATATGGTACGGTACGGTATATGGTGTGTACGTGTAGGGTGATGGTTGCAGGTGAGAAAGAAGACAACAATATACAGCCGAGACGCCCCGTGTACGATGTATAGATCGATATATACGAACCGAAGAAAGTACCACAACGTTCGGGTATATCTGGGCACAATGGTCGGTACACGTATACAAAATGACATTCGATTCGA